TGGAAAAAGCCCGAGAGACAATGAAAGAGAGGAAGATTGCCAAAGAGATGGGGATGGATTGCCACGGTGACGGCAGCAATGGGCGCAGGCAGGTGGACTCGGTGAGGACGGTGCCAGGTGGGGTAAGGTTTCCGTCTACTGGTCACAGGGTCTGATGGTCATACGACTGACTCATAGTCAACTCAATGGCACCAAACTACACCCTTCAATGTGTATTTTTGCACATTTGTTGAATTGGCACGTGACAGGGCTAGGCTCTCATTTGTTGTTCTTAGGGTCACTGTGAAGCATAGTTAACACTGACAACATCTAAAAACAAAACATTCAAAAGCAGGATGATGAAGAATGCGTTTCATTACCGGGTTCGTTAAGAATACAGAATAAGTGACGACCTTCTAGAAGAATGAACAAATAATCTGTCTTCAAAAAGGTCTATTGTGACTGCTCCTTAGAAAGAAGGACACAAGACTTAGTTCCACCTACCTGTCATGCTAGAAACAGGGTCAGGCCCTGGAAAAGGACATTCCGGTTGGTAAAGCAGAGGGTCATCAAAAAAGAGGAAGCGTTTCGGCAAGGTTAACTGCCATGGTGGCGGCAGCACGAACGTCAACACAGCAAGGATTCTGAGGATGGCACCGGACCCGGCAGCGTGTCTCTCACTCCGCTGCACACAGGAGTCAGAAGCGAATTTAGGCCACCTGAAAACAACAGTGATCTTCATGAAGATGCAACAGAAAGGAAAGAGAAGGCTGCTAGCAAACGTTTTTCCCTATTTTAAAATAGCAACTGTTCTTGCCTTTAACCAAGCACATTAATGATCTGTCGCTAGAATATGACTGAGGAGAACGCCTTGATCAGGACAAGCAACAGAAGTTGACACCTCGGGTCCCTTTCCAACTGAGATCCTACGACTTGTGAGAGAACAAAAGCCATGGGCTTCACTTAGAACAACAAATAGTTCTGAGATTCAAGTGAAGAAAGAGAGAAGTGAGACTGTTGGTACCAAAATTTTAAAAAAAATAAATAATATGGAACTTAACAGCTCTAGATTTTGTCTTGAAGGATAACATGCAAACATATCAGGAGGATTTCCCCCCTAAACAGTCCAAAAAAGGAAGAACACAGCTAAAGAAATATTTTAAAAACCATGTAATAAAGTGACAATAATGAAATAATGTCCCACTGATCTCAAGTCAAAGAGAACATGGGAATGGAATAAAAGTCAAAGGAGATAAAAGATTATGTGGGAATTTAGTGCATTATAACGTAACACATTAAATCAGGATTTTCCATTTGGTCCTTATAAACAGATTTATCAGTCAAAAATCTCTCTTAAGAAAACTACTGTCAAATTTCCCTACATAAAATTTATAAATGGCTATACCACAAATAATCAATAAAATAAATGCAAAATAACCTATAGCCATTATGTAAATTACATCAGGGAGAATAAAGAAGAAGCTATCAGAAATCAATTTTAGTAGTTTAGGCCTTTTACTGCTTGTCTAATGTTCATAGAGTCACTATGAATCACTATAAGTAACAACTGCCTATCCATACTAATTCTGTGAAGTGGGATTTATAGTTTTATCTTGGAGGGCGGGGAAAGTTATCTTGTTATTTCTAGTTATTAAGAACATTGTCACTTAAATAAAATGTATGTATTACTGACTGAATTGTGTCTCCCAAAGACAAATGTTGTAAATCTTAATCGGTATATTTGTACTTACAGTACTACTGGAGAATAGATTGTCATTTTTAAAGTCACATCAATGTAAGTATGTTTTAAGCCAAGCAATCACCTTTGAGGTATAAAAAGAAGAGAATATATCAGAGGAGTAAGCAAAAAAAATGGGGAAAAAACATGAAGATCACCATGGGGTCAAGTAATAATGACCTTCCCGGAGAACTGACAGAGAAATAAAGCTGGAAACACTGGCAAAAAAGCAAGGCTTCAGGAATAGAAGTTGACACATTTTAATTAATTCGGTGCAACCCCGGATGTGCTCACCAGTCTATACCAGGAAATTTGGAGCATAGCTGCTGGGCCAACTGACTAGAAGAGATTCTTATTTCTTCCTATTTCCAAGAGAGGTGATCCAACAGAATGTAGAAATTATTGAACATTATCATTAATATCACATGCAAGCAAAATATTGCTGAAGATCATAAAAAAAATGGCTGGAATTGACATTGACAGGAAGCTGCTAGAAGTTCAAGCTGTGTTTAGAAGAAGCCATAGTACCAGGGTTATCACTGCTGATGTCAAATAGATCCTGGCTTAAAGCAGAGAATACCAGAAGAATATCTGTCTGTGTTTTATTGACATGCAAAGACTGTGTAGTTTATAACAAACTATGGCTAACACTGAGAAGAAGAGAAATCCAAAAACACTTAATTGTACTCATACAAAATCTTTATCTAGACAAAGAAGCTGTTGTGCAAGAGGAATAAGGGGACACTGCTTGGTTTAAAATCAGGAAGGGTGTGAATCAGAGTTGTGTCTTTTTAAATACCTATTCAATCTGTATATTGAGCAAATAATTGGTGAAGCTGGATTCTATGTAGAGGAATGCAGCATCAGGATCAGAGGAAGACATCAAAAACCTATGTTATGCTGATGGCACAACCTTCTTTGCTGAAAGGGAGGATGCCTGCTGCAGAAGATCAAATAGAGCCTTCAATACGAATTACATCTCAGCATCAAGAAAGCAAAGATCTTTACCACTGGGTTAATAGGCCGTGTCATGACAGATGGAGGAGAGATTGAAACTGTCAATGACTTCATCTGACTTAGATCTACAATCATCATCCTTGGCACCAGCAGTCAAGAGATGAGGCTATGTTTTACTTTGGGCAAGTCCACTGTCAAGGACTCTCCAAAATACTGAAGGGAAATGATGTCAGTTTAAATTAAGGTCCACCTGAGTCAGGCCACAGTCTTTCTTTCTTTTTTTTTTTTTTTTTTAGGCCACAGTCTTTCTAATCACTTGTTATGCATCTCAGAGCCGGAAGATGAGTAAGGACGGCAGATGCCTTTGAGTTGTGGTGTAGGAATACTGAATATTCCATGAACTGCCAAAAGAACAAATGGATATGTCTTGGGAAAAAATGCAGCCAGAGTGCTCCTTGGAAGCAAGAATGGTCAAGCTTCATCTCTCACACCTTGGACATGTTGCGAGGGGAGGCTAGTCCTTGGAAAGGTATATATCATGTTTAGAAAGGTGGAGGGTTGGTGAAAGAAAGGAAGACCCTCAATGAGATGGACTGATTTGGTGATTGCAGCAATGGTCTCAAGAGTGTCAGAAATGCTGAGGACAGTACAGCATAGCAGAGATTTCAGATTTGTTGGTCACAGGGTTGGCGAATTGTACTCAACTTGACAACACCAAACACCAAACTGAAAGAAAACAGACTTGTTGAAGCCCTCTACTTTTAGTATATCTGTTACCACTAAGTAGTAAAGACAATCTGATATTAATAGTCAAAACTGTGAATCTCATTTGAAGGTAAAGCTTCTTCAGATGGTTGGGGAGGCAAAATGGCAGGACAAGAGGACGTCTTTATCTTCTCACTTTTCCCTTTTACTATATGATGAAATCCTGGAGTCATTAACTTTCCAATACACTATTGGGTGGGCACTGTTTTACATGCTTTTGTTGTTAGATGGTGGTTTTGACTCATGATGGCCCCATGTGCAAACAGTAAGAAACTGGCCCCTTTACCTAACAAATTTTCCAGCAACCTTCAGGAGAGTTTGAGCCACCAATCTCCCAGCTGCTAGTGGAGGTTTTAATCATTTGTGGCACTCAGACACTCCTTAGGGTTACACAGGAGGTCAACAATCAGACTGGAGAAGGGGCTCCAGATCATTGTTCTCTCTTGATTTTATTAAAGATGAAAACTGAAACATTAATTTTTACATAGATGGAAAAAGATGGCTAGTTGTAGTGGGCACAGGCAGAAACGATATCTTGCACCTGTATTCTACAGAGCTCAGGTGGCCTAGTGGTTGGGAACCGTGCTGCAATCCCAGAGGCATTTGGTTCCAATCCATCAGCTGCTCCTGGATAGAAAGCAGCACAATCTCCTTCCAGTGCAATTAATCTGTCTCTGAAAACCCACCAGGGGGCCCGCTATGGGTCAGTTCCAACTCAACAGTACCCAACAGCCATCACTTATATTCTACTTTCTACATTTTCAACACGCTCACAGTGCACTGGTCTTCAAACTTTATTAGACATTAGACTCACCTGGGGAGCTGGTTAACAAGTGAAATTCCTGAACTCCATCTCCAGAGATTCTGTGGCCGAATATATGGATGGTTTGACTTTTAGGGTAGCAACTGAGTGCCAACTAAAGGCTAAAGGACGTGGGGCGGTCGGTTTCTATAAAGATGTCACCCTTTTAAGCCTTATTCGGCAGCTTCACCCTGTGTGTTTAGCAGACTGGCCTTTTTAAGAAGCTGGCCTTCGAGTTTGAACTGACCACAGAGGGTTTTCAGAGGCAGTATAAATCGCACAGGAGAAGACTGCCCATCATTCTCCCGCGGAGCAGCTGGTGGATTCGAACCAACTGCCCTTCGGTTTTGCAGCGCGGCTTCTTACTACCAGGCCACGAGACCTCCTCAAACTTCCAAGAGACCGATTTACCAAGCGAATTCTGGGCTTTTGCGGCGTATTTCTCTGCGGAGTAAACTTGCTCCAGTGTTAACTCTGCCCAGGTACAAACCCGGGATCAAACGGGGAACCTTGAGCGGAGGACACCACCAGTGAACGGCCCACAGACACTGGCCCCGGAACCTAAGGTCGTGGCTCGTGTTTCCTCCACTTCCGCCGGATTCCGCTACGGAGGAGCGAACGCAGGTACAACTTCCGGTATCCCGGGTCTCCGAAAGCCGGCGGCGGCGGGTTTCCGGAGCGTTCATATTCTTGTGGTCCCAAGGACAGTAGCCGCTGCGGTCACGGTGGGGAGTCCGACGCTCCCGGACGCGCGTGACCATGTGGCGGCAGCTGGCTCGTGCCCGTGCGCCGCTCCTGCGGGTCCCCTTATCGGGTGAGACTCCCCTTTTCCTTTGCACGCTCAGTCCTATCCTTTGCATAGCAAAGCGAGCCTCTGTAGATGGTTGCTGAAGCCCTGCCTAAGGGGCTTCTCCTTCCCCATGTCACTCACACGCAAGGGGTCGTGCCAAGGGAACACAGCCATGTATGTGTGGGTCGCCGCCTTAGACACCCGGTTTGCCTTTGGGGTTGCGCGCCGCACACTGAACACCTCCTTCGGGGTTTACTGTCGCTGGCAGATTGCGCTAGTTCCTGATCTGGAACCCTTCTCTCTTTAACTTGATGTCCTTGTAGGTTCTTGGGCAGCCTCACCCGCCAGCGCTGGCCTCAAGACGCTGCTACCGGTGCCAACTTTTGAAGGTGAGAGTGGATCTGTCATTTTCACTGTGATGGGACCCAACACAGAATCCGAGAAGACACGGTGCGCGCGTGTGCCTCGTATTATTAACTCAGAGGATCATGCTTTATGCCAGGCCGGGGTATAAGTACTAGTAGTGAATCAAAGGGTAAAAAGGAGAGGGAGCACATTTGCTTCTATGGAATTAGCTGGATATTTCCCCTGGAACCCTCCGCTGGTGCAGGGATGTGGTCGGCCCTCAGCCAGGGCCAGTTTTTTGGTTTTGATGTTTTGAGGTTGGTTTGCGACAGTGTCCCACCTGTAAGAAACCCAGTGGAGAGTTACTTTGAGTTAGAACTAACCCAGCAGCAGTAGTTGAAGTTTTCTGTATGCTCCTTAACATCCACAGAGGCTGGGTGGAAGATTTTTGTTAAAAACAGTGTTCTACTCCCTAGGTTTCTGTCTGTAGTTTCCAGGCCTCCTAGTTCCTCGTGTTTGAAAAGGAGATAAACATAATCTAGCTAATGTTCTATTTCCCCCCCCCCAGGTAATATTTCTATGGGTCTCTTAGTATATACACTTTTTGATAATTCACTTAAGTGTACATTTTTATTTGTATGTGTTAAACTTGAATAAAAGTTCAAAATACCAATGCTGTAAAACTGTTTTGAGGATTAAATGACATAATGTATATTAAGGAAGCTCCAGCAGCTTAATGGTCAGCCCAAAGCTGCCCAAAGTATATCCAAAGGCATACTGTTTGAATCCACAGGAGAAAGATGGGCAGTCTCCTCTTATGCAATTTACTGCCTCTGAAAACCTGCTGAAGGATCAGCAGCTGTGAGTCAGTTCCAACTCAAAAGTTACAAAACAACAGAAACGTATATTAAGAATGTAGCACTCGTTGACTACAACCCATAGCAAGTCTGTGAACAGCAGTCCTTACCACATCCTGCATCGTTCTTACCATCGCTGACATGTTCAAGCTCGTTGTTACAGTCACTCTGGTCTTCATCACTTTCTCTCATCCTCCACCTTTCCCAGCAGGGTATCTCTTCCCAAAGGCTAATATGGTGGTCGGTGTGTTGGAGACAGTGAGATTGGCACAGGATAGAGCAGGGTTTAGGGCTGTTGTCCATAGGGTCGCTATGAGTCGCTGGCAACTCGACGGCACATAACAACAGTCCCTCCTGACAACATGACCAAAGAAGTGAGACAGAAGTTTTACCATCCTTGCCTCAAAGGAGCACCCTGGTTGGCATTCCGGGGCAGATTTGCTTGTTCTTTTGGCAGGCCATGGGGTGTTCAGTACTCCAACACCACAAAGGCATCAGTTCTTCTGTAATCCTTATTCACTGCCCAAATTCCAGTTGCATAAGAAGCAACTGAAAATAAGAAGGCATAGATCAGGCACATCTTACATCCTTGCTCTTTAACACTCTGGAGAGGTCTTTGACAGATTATCCCAGTGGAGCACATCTTTTGATTTCTTGAGGCTAGTACCATCAATGTTGATTATGGATCCACGTACAATAAAATTGGCAATTTCAGTCTTTTCTTCATCCATCATGAGGTTGCCAGCTTGTTCAGTGGTGAGAATTTTTGTTTTCTTGATGTGGAGATAGAATCAATTTTGAAGACCCTTGATCTTCAGTAAGTGCTTTAAGTCTGCTTCACTTTCTATAAACAAGGTTAGATTAAGGTATTATGAAGACATCGGTCTGCATAATACAGGTTGTTGTTGAATCTTCCTCCACTCTTGATGCCCCATTCTTCATATAGTCCAGCTTCTCTCCAAGTATTTGCTTAGCATACAGATTGAATAGGTATGGAGAGAGGATATTTCTGATTTTAAACCATGCAGTGTCCCCTTGTTCTGTTTGGACAGCTGCCCCTTGTAAAGGTTTTGCATGTGCACAACTGTTCTTCTGATTCCCATTCTTCTTAGTTGGCCATAATTTGTTATGATCCACATAGTCAAATGCTTTTGCAGAATCAATGAAAGTTTCTGCTTTCAGCCTTGAGCCATCTGGCATCCGCAGTGATATCCCTCATTCCACACCCTCTTCTGTATCCACCTTGAATTTCTGGCTGTTCTCTGTTAATGTACTATTCCAGGCTTCTTTTTTTTTTTTTTTTTTAAGTAATATTCAGCATGATTTTACATATTACATTAGTAGAGTTTAATAACATTCACATTCTGTTGGATCATCTTTTTTTAGAATCAGAACTAATGTAGATTCTTTGAGTTAACTAGGTAACTAGGTAACTTCTAAATTTCTTGGTATAGACTAATGAGCACTTTCAGGACTGTGTGTTTGTTGAAACATGTCCATTAATATTCCACAAATCCCGGGAGCTTTTGTTTTTTTCCCCAGTGCCTTTAGTGTAGCTTGGATATTTTCCCTTCATTGTCAGTGGTTCTTGATCTTATGCTTTGTTCAGTGTTAACCAGTTCTTTTTGGGACAGTGACTCTATGTATTCCATCTTCATTGATGCTCCTGAATCATTCAAGATTTTGCCCATAGAATCCCTCAGTTTTCCAACCTGACTCTTGAATTTGTTCTTCAGTTCTGAAATGCTGAGTGTGTTCTTCCTTTCTGGTTTTCCAACGTCAGGTCTTTGCACATTTTGTTGTAATACTTTGCTTTTTCTTCCCAAGGTGCCCTTTAAATCATCTGTTCATCTCTTCAGCATTTTTTCCCTTTGTTTTGGCCTCTTGATAGTCTAGAATAATTTCTAGAGTCGTTTTTACATCCATTTAGGTCTTTTCTTTGCTCTCTGTCTTTGAAATAACTTTCTGCTTTGTTAATGAATGACATCCTTGATGTTGTTGTGTGCCATCAAGTCAGTACCAACACATAGCTGACCCTCCAGCAGGTTTTCAGAGGCAGAAAAAATCGCCTGGGAGGAGATTACTCACCTGACATCCCAGAACTCGTTGATTATTGGTCATGACTTTTCAATGAAGTGAATTAGTTCTTGAGAATATTTTTAAATTGAAGTGGGATAGACTCAAGGTCATATGTTGGCTCTCGTGGAGAGCCCCTTCCACACCAGCTATGCCCCAAAACCCACTACTCCTAATTCCTGACATCTTACTGCTATACTTTCCCAGAAAAGTAGTTTTTAATGTTGAGCATGGAGTAGACACATGAGGAAGTGCACTTTGGTTTGCTGTCCTCAAACATCCTTCGCATTAAGCACTGTTAACGCCCAAAGATTCCAGTATTACAAAAGCAGCCAAACCGTAAACCTACATGCCTTTGCAGTTACTCTTCAGAGGCAACTACCTGGTAAGAACCTCACCCAGTTGGTATCCTTTTAGTCTTTTGACGTGTATACTTTTAGTTATTCCTGGTTGTCTGTGCTCCTTGTAGATGTCACCATTCCTGAGAGGCCTAAGCTTAGATTTGTTGAAAGGGTCCCACTTGTGCCAAAAGTGAAGAGAGAACCTAAAAATCTGAATGACATACGGGGACCTTCCACCGAAGCCACCGAGTTCACAGAAGGCAATTTTGCAATCTTGGTGAGTTCAGCAACAAGCAGCAACCACAGGGTGGAAGCCGGGGATGAGCAGAATCTCAGACTCTGAGTTCACTCTCGTCTTTTGTCCATTGTATTTGTTCGAGCAGTCCTCAGTTGCCCTTTCAATTGCTGGGTACCAAGACGACATTCGTGTTGTCTGTCTTTTGTGTCACGTATTTTTTCTATATAGGATGAATATAATGTAAAAGTAAGAGGAGCTCCTTGGTCTGCCTGTAATCAGATCTCTGATGGGGGGAAGGACTCCTGATTCAGCCCACGGGGTAGCTGTTTCCTTCCTGTCTCCCATAACGAAGTCAGCCCAGTCGCTTGACAAAAGGATAGGAACCAGGATTCCGTCTCTGTCAGACAGGCCATGTGGTGTTTTCAGACCTTCCCAGCCTGCATGGCCAGCCCCTACTGCCTCAGAACTGCAGGCCTCGCTTGCCATTCCTGTTCAGCTGCACCTGCGTTTACGCACTTCCCCTCCCGGAGCGGATTTTCTCTTGTCATTGCCCCTTCAGCTTTAAATACCAACTTCAAGAGACTTTTCCTGGCCAGCCCCTGAAGCGAGCCCATTCATGTTCTCCCCATCACTGTGTATTTATGAGAACTTCTTTTTATCTCATTGAAGTCATCGTTTCTAAGGCCTCCTGTGGTTCTCCTTTTCTTCTTTAGGCGCTCGGTGGTGGTTACCTCCGGTGGGGCCATTTTGAAATGATGCGCCTGACGATCAACCGTTCCATGGACCCCAAGAACATGTTTGCCATCTGGCGGGTGCCGGCTCCCTTCAAGGCCATCACCCGCAAGGGCATGGGGCAGCGCATGGGAGGGGGCAAAGGGGCCATCGATCACTACGTGACCCCCGTAAAGGCGGGCCGCCTCATCGTGGAACTGGGTGGGCGCTGTGAATTCAAGGAAGTCCAAGGCTTCCTCAACAAGGTCGCCCACAAGCTGCCCTTCAAAGCCAAGGCCGTGAGCCGGGAGACGCTGGAAAAGATGCGGCAAGAGCAAGAGGAGCGGGAGCGTAACAACCAGAATCCCTGGACCTTCGAGCGCATCGTCACCGCCAACATGCTGGGCATTCGTAAGGTCCTGAGCCCGTATGACCTGACCCAGAAGGGCCGCTACTGGGGCAAGTTTTACATGCCACACCGAGTGTAGCGGCAGTGCGGAAAACACGCACACTGTGCACACAGGTAGGGAATTGGGGGAAAGATGACTGAATTTTCAAAGTCCATATATTTATAATAAAAATATGAATATCATGTCAATAAGTCACTTTTCATTCACTTGCCATCCTTTAAAAGATTTCATCGACAGCCTGGTTGAATATTAGGAGCTCTCTACCTCTGAACAGAAATGTCTTCAGAGCTAAATCAGATCTGTGAACCGCCCCGCTCTGAAACAACTCGGACCCAAGGTCAGTATCACGTTTAATATGTGCACACTCAGGAGCTGGTTTCTGTGAGATCTTCACTAGGTACAAACACAGACTAGGTAATGTTTTCAGAATGCAAAGAAAAACATGACAAGTCATCGTTTAATTGATTCAACAGGTATTTATTGATGCTCAGCTACCCATCTCAGTCTTGGAGGGAAGGATGTCAACAACACGGCAAGGTGCGCACCTTTGCCGTTTAACCAGGTAGGATGGGGTGGCCCTTCCTAGGTCCTCTGCACAGAGAGGCTGCCTGTTACCCTGTGTCTCTGCAGGATCTAGTAATGCCATGTGCCACAAAGCACTTAAACAATTCTTGCTACTGAAAAAGGGCTCAATTCAAATCCCATGGTCTTAATCCGTTTGCCTTTAGCCAGATTAATCTATTTTTCAGATTGGGCTGGTAGTAGTCCAGCCTCTATTCTAATTAAGGAAATAACAGCTTGATGAAAAGAAATCATTTGCTTTTTAATACTTTCTTAAAAGATCGTCCAGCAAATCATTTCAAAGATACAAATTTAAACAGTCTAGAGCTGGATCCTGTGGTCTTACATTATCTTGGTGAACCTTTGGTAATGTAACTAGTCACTAAATAAGTTACTTGTATTCTTGTAGCCAGGACACACCTGATCCTTGGATTGGGGAGAGTGGAACAGAATGTTGTACACAGTGCTGACCACAAGTCTACATGAATCTGGGACAAAAGAGCACACGTTCATTGTACTTTCTTCCTCACCCTGTCTTTTGTTATAATCTTACCTGTTTTATAGAGTGATTCTGACAACTATTTTTATTTCAGTTGGCATAAATCTTTATTTGGGGCCCACTTTGGCTATTGAACTAAACATGCATGGCCCACCTTCAAAGGATAAAAGGTGGTGATGACGGAATTCTAGCATCACCGACCACAGATAAAGCACATTAGAGTTGCGTTGTGAAAACGGGGGCCCTGCTGTAGCACTGTCTTGCATCAGGGGGTCAGCCCATTTCCAGTCAGCTTTACCCAACAGGCCAAAATCATCTTTCCAGTGAGGCTAGAAAGGGTTCAAGATTCAATCCAAGGACTTTCATGAGCAAAATCAGAGTGTAAGGTAAAGAACTTAGTGAGCACCTGTAAGGGGCATTGGGACGGCAGAGAGCAAGCCCAGGATGGTGCCCATTAAATCCTCCTCACTTGAGATGAGCAGACCTGAAAATGGATACGGGGTTGATGAGAGGTGAGGCCTAGAATGTTGGGAACAATGAAGGCTCTGATCTTGCTGATGAACTTGATGGCAGTTAAGATAGTTAAGATTCTCATCGTGACTGGGCATTCTACAGTGTCTGCCGCTTCCCAGCCATACCCTAGGGTAAGGCCGAGGTGTCCTTTCTGAGCAGGTGCTCCCTAGGCCTTCCTAGCCTAAAGTCCTGTAAAGCATGTGCCCTGCCAGGTTTGTGTTACTAGACATTTCCGTCATCCCTGCCCTGCACAGAACCCTGCCTTTTCCTTAAGTCTGTTCTCCTTTTGCGTAGCTTAGGAGTTGACTGATGCCCTGTGTCGTGTGAAGGTTAATGGGAAGAGGAGTCACTGTTGAGAAGTCTGCGTGGAGAAGCGATGGCACCACAGAGGCGGGAGGAGTTCAGAAATGCCAGTCGGAGATCCGTCTGTGGGGGCTGAGGAACAGAAGGCTCGATTATCTTAAAAATCACAGATTACCCAGCATGGGGCCAGGAAACCAGTTCTCTTTTACACTGGAGCAAGAAACGAATCATGAGGCTACATTCACTTGGCCCGAGCTTCTGAAGGAGGACAGTTACTTGGGTTTGCTGTGTGGCCAGTTCAGGGTGCTTCTACTACAAAAATTAGTTCTTCCTTTTGCAATTCCTATATACCAAGACCCAGATTTCGCAGTAGGACATCAGCATCCTTGGCCTGTACAGTCTTGTACAAGCAGAACTAACCTTCTCTACCTACAAACTCATCCTTAAAGTTTCATTTATCTACATAATAGCTGATGTTGTGTGCTGTCAAGTTGGAACTGACCCTCCAGCAGGTTTTCAGAGGCAGTAAATCGCACAGGAGGAGGCTGCTCATCCTTCTCCCGCAGAGCAGCTGGTGGATTTGAGCCGCGTGCCTTTGGGGTTGCAGTGCAGCTTCTTACCGCTAGGCCACCAGAGCTCCCTCTGTTATGGTGCATTCCTTTTTCTCCATCTTTCTACTATTCCCACACCTACTCCCACCAGGCACACTAGGACACATGAGTTTCAGATCAGTGGGCTCGACCCTCCCCACTGATGGCTCACCTTTTTCAGGCAAATATGCTCCCAATGGTGGAAGCTAAGATGATCACAAGGATAACACAGCAGATCATAATCATGATCTTCTTCTGCTCATCAGACAAGGAAAGAAAAAGCACATGAGAAACAACGTGACTGAAGAGAAGCCTTCCCAAAACAGAAACACAAAGCGGGTCTGGATCTGGGCACAGTAGGAAGGGAGAGGGGCACAGAAGGAAGAGGGAGATGGATCTGGCTTTGAGCACGCTGAATGTTCCCAGAGATGCCATTTCCGGATGAGAGACTGAGAAATCGGAACAACAGAACCTTTGCAGGACCTTCTACCTTCCCGGACACCATCACAACAGAGCACTTCCTTCTAGAGCCACCACTCTTAGTGACCCTAATCCTTCAGAGGCGCACCTCAGATAGGAAGTTCAAACGTGAGCCGCCATACTGCAGTCTCTACGTTACAGACATTTTCAAAGATCAGACAACTTTCATTTCCAGCACACAGGTAGGTGTTGTCGATTCAAGTACGACTTCCCAGTGACCCTCTGAACAACAGATCTGAATCCTGTCCTAGCCTGTGCTGTTCTCATCATTTCCACCATACTTGGGCCCATTGCTGCGGTCACTTATCAAGCCATCTGGGTCTTCTTCTCACTGACCCTCTGTACTTTTAAAGGACATTTACAGCTGTTTCTCATTCTGAGTAAGATCTGGGTTCTACCTCTAATACTATAGCTACCTGTGTTGTTCTGTTGTTCATAGTTTTCAGAGGCCTGTTGTTTCAGAAGTGAATGGCCAATCTTGCTTCCTAGTCTGTTTTGATCTGAGAGCTCTGTTGAAAACAGTCCACTCTGGGTGATCCTTCTAGCGTTTGACACACCAGTGGAATAACTTTCAGCATCACCGCAACCCACAAGTTACCCCAATACAGCAAAATGACAGACAAATGTTAAAAGAGTGCCGTTAAAGAGATTTGCATCCTCTTCCAAAACTGCCACTTGGTGGCACCCAAAATCACTAAGTGTTTTGCAGGGAGATCAAGCCAGAGCTGTTGTGATGATCAATATAAAGGCATTTATTAAATTAGAAAGAATCAAGTTTACATTTTTTAAAAATATATACAAACAAACAAGGCCCTTCGTATGCTGTATTCCAAAACATTAGCCCCAGGCCTCAATCTCAGAAAAGAGCAAAAGCCTGTAATTAGAGCAGGTCTCCCCTTGTGGCTAGTGCCAATCCCCGTCCTGACATCATAGCCATGGGCAAGAAGGGCAACCCCTGGGCTCTGTCTGGATGCTGGCGATGCCTGATAGTAAACAGCGCTTACAAAGGTGCTAACGGGCAGTGCCTGGATTAGGATTCTCCCCCTCCGTTGAAAAACATTAAAGCCAAAGTTGAAATATACCTGGTATGCAAAATCAAGGAGACTAACAGGGTTTAACACTGGGTCTGTTCACACACCACAGGTGAAAATTCCCTGGGCTGCTATTTCCTTCACAGTGTGAGTCTGGGGAAGACTGAACCTGTTCGCAGAAAGAGAGCCACTTAATCCCTGGGATCACGAGTTAGCCCCCAGTTGACCCATCCCTGGAAACACGACATCCCATCAATCACTTGTCTGATAGCAAACTGCCCTGGGATGTTCTCAGGACAAGCCGTGCCCAGGCAACTGGTGAGGAGAGGTCAGAACACAGCACACCAATTGTCCACTAAGCAGAACAGCTCAACGAGATCAACTGCATCTTCACCCCAGAGACGGTGATTCTCTTAGTTACTCATTCAGGAAATGGCAGGTTCTCAATGACACGAGAAGACCCCATTGCTATTGTGGTCATTTGCAGGTAAGCAAGCATCCCTTACTTAACACTTCGCCTAGCTCAAGGTTATTTCTTTCTGGAGGTAGTACTATCCTCCACTTGTTTCCTGCTGAGAGGCATGTACGAGCAGGTGTCTCCCATGCATGTGATGAGAAAAACGCGCCTGGGATACGTGAAATGCATGACTGTGGATACCTGGACCAGTCTGATGAACATTTTCAGAGCCTGTGACTGAAGCACCTCATCCCTGGCCCAGTTTTGAGCCCCTGGTTATTCAAGGCAATGTTGTCACAAAGCATCACTCTTAACAACGAACAGCCTGTTTCCAAGACTCAGACACGGAAACGAATATCCCACGTGCCCAGCCTCTGCAGATGGCACCCTCAGAGGGCCAAAATCATCCTGGTCCCTCCATGAGCAAACATGAGAGGACACAGCATCGGCAGAGTCTGAAGTCGGCCCCAAGCTGAACAGACCAAGAATCTAATTTACAACTGCATGCCAAACAAGGCAGCTTCTCAGATCAAAATGACAGCTGTCAGCCTCTCATGTTTTCAGGACACAGGGATGACAAACTGAAAAGACTGGTACCCTGCCAGGCAGAAGATCGGTTCCAAGTCTTACTGTTGCCAAACTTG